AATCCATTACTTTTAAAAATTCATCCATACTTAAAATAGACAATTTATGGTATTCTGCATTAGACTGCATTTTAAAACATTCTAAAGCATCTTTCCATTTAATAAAAGGTTTACTTACTAAAGCACCCACTTTTTGATTAGAACCTTTTCCGATGCATTCATTAGAAAATACACATATTTTACATAATGCTCCTTCTAATTTCTGAGAATAAGTTAACCAAGACCTTTGGAATTTCAATTTTCTTTTTGATACCACCGGAAAATTATAATTTGTTAAAGGCACCCATGGATTTTTTTTATTAATTTGTACTTAAATTTATCATCAGTTGTTCTATCATCTACATACCGTCCAATATATCGAAGTTCTAGTAATTCTTCTGGCAGTTCTGGTGGTTTTGTAATGGAAGTATTTAAATCTGAATTTAATTGATTGTTTTTCTTATGAAAAAAATTAAAAATCGATGACTGAGATGGCATACTTCGTTTCATTTTTTAAGAAATGTATTGAATAAAATATAAATACAAAATACCTATATTGTTAACATATACACAGTTAAAATAATACAAGGTCGAATGAATTATTAATCATATATGGTAACACAATACTTCTGAAAATATGACTAAACGGGCGAAAAACCAGCGAACTATTGTAGTTATAAACTGATTAAGTCCGTCTTCCGATTATCGGATTCAGATAAGATAATGTTTGTAATTTTCTAAAATTTAATGTGAGACTACTGAGAAATTGGGAAATGTACAAATACTTTATTATAATAAATAAATATTCTTTCAAAATTACGGTGAGGGGGGGAGCCCCTAAACATCCCCTCCCCTGTATACTGCCCTGGTCTGGCTAATGCTATGTCTAGTACGTCTGGTCTATGGTAAGCAGTTCCTGGATAGTTGGAATGTCTGGCGCATGTACTACATAGTCGCTTTGTTGTGTACTCTACTGTGCCTAAGTATGTGTTTTGCATTTGAGTCGCCAGCTTTTGGTATATAACGATTTCTGCGTTGTTGATTATTGCGTCGAGATCTCCTGGAAGTAGGTCGTCTTTTGGTGGTTTGTAGATTGCTGATACTGTTATTTCTGTGTTGTTGGTCTTGATACGAATGCTTGTAGACTGCAATGTAGTGTTCAGGTTCTCAGGCTGGTGGACTATGCTTCGGTGAACTAGAATTGCCGTTACCCCGTGTGGTGGAGTTCCTTTTTTTGTTGGGATGTCATTTCTGTTGGTTATGAAATTGGCGATTTTGAGTCGGTTATTTGGTGACAATTGAGTTTCGTTGAGTAGTATGATGTCGGTTTTGTGGTTTTTTTTGTAAAATTATGAAGTTCGTTCAGTTTATTTGTAATGCTGTTGAATTTCCAGTGGATGATGTTGGGTTATTCATTATTGATCATTAGAGTATTTGGATGAACGAGTTAATTGTTGTGAGAATGATTGTTTTTGGATCATCAGCTGTGGCGATCGCTTCAAGTAGATTTTTCAGGAGTCGAATTATTTGAGAATGGCGATGTTGCTCTGACGTAGCTTTTGTTTGAAGTGGTGATATTTTTGTTAGGTTCAGTCGGTTCTGAAGTAGTTATTGGTTTTAATATTTGAAATTCTGGTCTGGTTATTGCTCTTGTTGTGGGTGTTGTGATCGTTTCTTTTTTGCGTTCTGTCTCTAAATAATGTGTCATCCTCGATAATTGGCGGTATGGTTTCCGTTACAATTGCAGCATAGCGGTTCGTGTTCTTTTTTCTTCTGGCAGTCTTTTGCAAGATGGGACCCGGCGCACTTAACACATCTGGGGGCGTGCTTACAGTTACTTGAACCATGACGGAATCGTTGACATGCGAAGCATTGGGCCGGTCCAGATTGTTTGAACGTTTCCACTTTGATACGTATGTAGAAAAGTGAGTCTAAATCGTAGATTTCTTTCGCATTAGTTGTGTTTGTTATGGTGACAAAGCAAATTGGCATCGTGGCTTTTTCGGTGCCAAAATGCCTGATCGTTTGGACTGTAAAGTCCAGTCTTTGTAATTCATTCGTGAACTCCGCATTTTGTACATCAGCTGGGATTCCTTTAATGACCACTTTGATGGGTTTCTCTTCAGACAGTTTGAAAGTGTGATATTCAATTTGATTTTCAGTCATGATCTTTTGCACTAATTTGAATTGACTAACTTCTGTAGAGTTTATCTGAATGTTGCCATCGAAGATGACTTTGGCGGTCATTTTCTCTAGACGGTTGTCGGAATTTTGGTGTATGATTGACGCAATTTTCCGCCATAATGACGATGCAACGATGATAGGTGGTATTCTTTATGAAAGTTTGGTGACTGGTGTTTCTATAGTTGAGTATAAAGTGGTGGTTGATGTTGTGTTGGATATTATTGATTCGTCTGATACGGATTCTTCATCAGTCGGTTCGGGTGAAGTTGGAGCAGACCGCTGTTTGCCCTTTTATCCTCCGGTGACCGCTGGTAGTGACGTTTTTCGTTTATTGCCTCCCCCATGACAAGAACTTCGGCTGTCGGGGAAGTAGTAAAATAGTAGGTTATAACTAACCTGGTATGTCCAGTGGATCTGAGTTCTGTGCGCAGCACTGTGGCTGAGCGGAGGCGAACGAGATTTTTAGTAATTCGTCCCGACAGGAGCCCTGAGGAGGGCTAGTCTGAATTACTAGTCAGTATATAGGTTCTGACAGACCTCGAACACTGTCGCACTTTCACTGCACTGGGTGTGTGGGGGTGGACTGCGATCGGAACGACGTGTAGGCGACGATCGAGCTGATCGACGGACCGCCGTGGTTCGCCTGGGGATAAATCCTCTGGCTAGACACGACAGTAACCGGCGGGGTCAGAAAGTGGTCTATCGGCGGATCGATGCGGTAGGTGGGGTGACCGGTTGAACACGTGGTTTCTCAGTGGTTGGCACTTACGAACGGATTCGTAACGCGCTGCGCACTGTCGGCGGGCAGGGATGCAAGGTAACGAGCACGTGGTTCGCGGTGAACAAACTGCACACTCACTGACTAACTCGTAACGCACAATTGCGCACTTCGCAACGACTCACCGGCGGCGAGAACACGTGGTTCGCGATGCATATGGGATCGTAACGGGATCACGTAGGTGGGAGATTGTAACGCTCTGACGGTGAACGAATGTGTTGACGCGACGGCGGTTGATAATGATATAAAAATGAATATTAACATATACGTATATATATATATATATAGTCTAGTCTCAAGGCCATAGACGACGGGATACGCGATAACATGTGGTGCGTGGAGAGTTAGAAACAATAAACACACAACATACATGTGAAACTAATATAAGCGTGTTAATAAGAAGTATGCACGATCATACTCCGCATTTTCGTCGTAGTACGCGCATGCACATCGCCTTGTGCTTTTGTGCATTCGTATACGATCGATGAAATACAACCACTGCCGAATGCACTTTAACACCGCGCAATTTTTAAATTGATAATTCTGATATAATATCAATGATAGACATAATTTTGAAGTAATATTTATATTAATTACTTTAAGACAATGCATTGTAATATTATTTTGTAATACGTTTAATCGTGGATAATTATTTTAGATTCTATGTATATTTTTGTTGTAATTTTTGTATTTTAATGAAAAAATGGTAAGGTGTAGCCGAGTCGATAACGCATCAGTGCTTGACACGTACCGCCTCGGGTTCGAAACTCGCTCACGGGCGGCTTCATTTGCCGAAACATGATTAGTTCAGTAATTGGAGTCGTGCCATCCCATTCTCCGGCGACGGACTAACTAAGCGTCCCGGAGTATAAATGGTTAAGAAACCTCCTAGGAGTAGGTCATTATGACACCCTTAATGGACTAATAAAAGCAATAAAAAAATTAATTAAAGTGAACTATAGAAAAATAATCATTATTTATAGAAATTATTATAACATTTTTACCTATTAAGTGAGAGAGATTGTTCGGGTGAACGCTCCAGTTGGTCATACTGATCGTGTATCAGCTGGTGATAACACTTCACTCATCGGACGCTTGGCCGTTATGGTTTGTAATAGTGATGGGAATTTCGGGTCAATCGAACGATCCGGATCGTTTGGTTCGGATCGTTCAAATGACCCGTTCATATAACTCGTTCTTTCGTTCATTTCTTACGATCGGTCACGGTTCTTATCAATTACTCCTTACTATGGTTTTCTTGGACGAGTCGTTCAAATTCGCATTTTCAACATGTAACATTACCGTGATATCAGAATTTTTACTGATAATACACTTGTATAATCGGGTTATATATTATTTTTTCAAATACAACTTGAAATAACATAATATGCTGTTATACACGAATATTTTTGTATAGAATAAAAACAAATAATTTATACTAGCAGATGAGTTGCGGTACATAAATCCATAGAATTTGTTTCTATAATAAGCGAAATCATTTAAATTATTTGTTTTCATAAAAGGAGTTTTATAGAGAAATTAATTCACCTAAATCAGATATTACAATTTACAGCAGCTATGACCAGATTATAAAAGAGTGAGGTGGTTTAATACCTCTCACAACAATTATATTAGTCTAATAGTCAATTTTTGTCCTAGTTGCTAAATTCATAGACCTATTTTCGCTTATAAATAATTATATGAATGTAATGTTTATGAAATAAATAGCTATATATTGATAATCAAAATTGTTCTTCAAATGAACAATATAGTAGGATACTTGAAATAATCTAACTGTATTAAACCTGCATGATTATGTTAGTAGAAACATGTCACAACTTTGAAAATTTAGTCTGCAGACCTACAATAAAAATGTTTTTATCACAAACCAATTAGTGTTGCTTTTAAACTCTCATTGGCAATAAGTATTTTTTTATTTTATTTTTTAAGAAAACATTATAAGTATATACTTATAAAGTATGTATATATTCTTCGTTTTTTTTTTAAATTTTTATATTATAAGAATAGTTTGAGGTAAGTTAAAAAATTATACTCCATATGATAATAATTATAAAAATATATTAGGCATAATTTATAAATTAATAGATCATGGCTTCAAAAACAAATTTAAATAAAAAACGTAGTGATATTTGGAATCATTATACATTAATAGCACAAAATGTTGCAAAATGTAATTATTGCAATGAATCGAAAAGTTATAGTGGTGGATCAACTGGTAACTTAACTCGACATATTAAAATACGACATGTTACAGTACCATTACATCGAACTATCATGGTTATTTAAAATACAAATAATTTATAATAGGCTATACATTTATGCATAATATAAAAATAAAATATGATTTTCTTCCTTTAATGAAAGTTTTATTTCATGATAATCTTCATTCCAACTTTCAAGTGTTAAAAAAATATTCCATGTTTATATTGAATATAAGTTTCTGATCCTCTTTTTACCTTAAACACATAAATTAATACACAATTAAAAACCATTTCAGACAAATGAGATACAGTTTAAGTAGTTTTAATAAAATTATTAAAAATAAAAAAAAAATTAAATTAGGCAGCCTAAACAGCTCAGTTGTAAACGGCTTACTTCAGAATAAAGACAGAGAGGTTCAATTCCATTGCGCTGAGCTAGTTAGACTTTTTTTTCTTTGCCGCATAGCAGTAGATTATAATAGGATTTAACCCTTTTGCAAGCAGGTTTTCTGGACTAAACGAGTAAAGACGTATATTAACATTAGACATTTATTGGTTAAGAGGGCAAAGACGTTAATTGATGTCCAAAATATATGATCATTGATAAAAATTATGATAATATAAAATTCGTTAATTTACGTTTTTAGTTCTTATGAAACTATTATTACTTGTAACTGTGCTATTTATTAATAAAACAAATAAATTTGGATCATAACATTTTAAAATTAATAAAGTTATTAAGTANCCAAATAAAACAAATGGTAAAACAAATAAATTTGGATCATAACATTTTAAAATTAATAAAGTTATTAAGTACTTGAATTTTAAATAGGTATATGAAAGTAATTCTGAAAATATTGACAATCCACAACCATTAGCATCAAATCCAATTTCATTAACTCATCCTCCAGGTAATTCATTAATTCAAACTACATCTTCACCATCAATCAATATACATAACCAATTGGCTATTACAAATTTTATTCAACGACCACTGCCTTTTAGTAAATCAAAATCTATCGACCAACAACTCGTAAGAATGATAGTAAAAGAATACCACCCATTTAGTGTAGTAGAGGACAAAGAGTTTAGAAAGTTAATAAATTTATTATNCGTGTAGTAGAGGACAAAGAGTTTTGAAAGTTAATAAATTTATTATCTCCGAACTATATAATTCCTTCAAGAAAAACAATTTCTAATAGTATAATGCCTCAGATGTATAAGATGGTTATAGAAAAAGTTAAAGAGCAATTAAAAAATGTTACTGCTGTATGTTTAACTACTGATGGATGGACTTCTCGTAATAACCAAAGTTTTATTGCTGTAACAGCACATTTTTTAAATCCTGAAAATGATTCAGAGCTGTCCGCTTATTTATTGGGATGTACTAGTTTTCCTGAAAGTCACACAGCTGACAATTTAGCCTTGTTTTTAAAAAATACAGTATCTGAGTGGGGATTAAATGATAGAGTAACAGCTGTAGTGACAGATAATGCGTCTAATATGAAATTAGCTATAGATAAATGTGACTGGAGACGAATATCCTGTTTTGCCCATTCAGTGAATTTAGTGGTTCAAAATAGTTTAGAGATCATTGAACCAGTAATAACTAAAATTAAAAATATTGTTTCATATTTTAAGAGGAGTTCTCACGCTTTAGCAAAGTTGGAAGAGTACCAAAAACAAACAGGAAGTCCTATTTTAAAGTTAAAACAAGATTGTCCAACACGTTGGAATTCTTGTTATGATATGCTAGAAAGAGTATTAAAGCTTAGAGAGCCAATAACTGCAACTTTAGCTATTTTAAATAGTAATCACTTGAATTCCCTAAATTCTTATGATTGGGAAGTTATTAAAAAATCAAAGGATCTATTAAAAATTTTTTATGATATTACTGTTGAAATAAGTGCAGAAAAATATGTAACAATTTCAAAAGAAATAATTTTTGTTAATGCACTATTGAAGTATACTGCTAACTTTGTGGATGAAATAAGTTTGCCAAAAGAGGTACATGATATGGCTGAAATTTTAAAAAAAAAACTATTAATTCGATTTGGATCCATTGAAGATAATATTTTAATTGGTCAAGCTATTCTTCTTGATCCCAGGTTTAAGAGCCATGCATTTTCTAATACTATTAAATGTAAAGAAATTATTAGACAATTGAAAAACAAAATATCAACCATTACAACTGAAAATGAATTACCCAATTCTTACGAATTAATATCAGCCGAACCAATTTCTTCTACATCATCTGCAGTTTGGGGAGATTTTGATAAAACTGTTAATCATATAACTGGTAGTAATAATTCAACAGCAGCGTCAATAATAGAGATGGATAAATATTTAAACGAACCATTAATAAACCGTCATGAGAATCCATTATTCATGAATAATATTCACAATAAAATGGTTTTATAAACAAATAAATATATATTCGGGATATTGAGATGAATGGGTGATTAATACAAGGGTGGCTATCTCAAAATAGTCAGAAAATAGGTGAAAATAGTTTTAAAATATTTAGTATTTTTTAAAACTTAAATTAATATGAAATAGAATTGGACCAAATGCATCAATATTACAACTCGAAGTAATCAAATATCTAACAATGTACATTAACTAGTCACAGTAAGTATTTAACAAAAATTATCAAACAGTGAGTGACATTTGCTTATAAAAACTAAACACCAAAATTAAAAAGATAAATATTTACAAATGTTAATACATGTTAATAATATAAACTTAACAAAAATTAAAGAAGCTTTTAAATATTAATTAATCAAAATAGTAATAGTAATTATAAATTTTCTTACGAAAAATGTTGTTTGTTTAAAATATACATTTATGAAAAACTGTTCAAATTATTAAACAAAATAGAATTTAAAATAAACATCATGTACATATAATATTCATAAAGAATTAATACTACGCACGGTGTTTTATTATTTCTTTCTAGGTTAGGCATAGGTTTTAACCGAAGTGCAGGTAAACGTTAAGTAAATGAACGAATCATGAAACAGTGTGTCCGATATATTGCGTGAAACGAACGAACGAACGAACGTATGAACGAATGAACGATATCTATTTTTTTTGTGATCCGGATCAACTCGTTCACTGATATGACCCGTTCAAAAAGACCCGTTCGTTCGTGAACGACCCATCACTAGTTTGTAGCCATTCTCTCGAGATTCGTCGCCTGTTTACTTTGTTTTCGTAAAACGCGTTTTTCTCGCTGTCGTAAAACCAATTTGTTAATTATAACCTAAAACTGTTATACCCTTCTGTCTTATGTGACTACTAAGTTTTTTGTTTTTTGTTTTGTCGTAAAACCGATTGTTGGCTGGTGGACCGGCATTGCAATATAAAATCAAATTTGTATACTATTAATTGGTAATAATTTCAATATTCTAATAGAATATTTGTTAGCTATTTACCTTGTGGTTCGCACATTAGCTCACATTGACCATAGGGCACAGTATTTTTTGTATGAAAACTTTGGATATATTAACTCTATTCTTGATTGTAATAATACAAGCATTCTATTAAACCACAATCAGGAGACTGTTTAAGTGCGAGCCCCTTGGTACAATTGTCCAGTAATATTAAATTTAGAATTTAGTTAAGTCAACGTGTAGTTAAGTTTCTAGTAATTTTATGTTACTATTACTTCTTTTATGTTATTCATGTTGAAGTATAAAGCAAATCTAGTCCATAAGTCCACATAAGTTAAATTAATTAAATAGTTGAGTTGCTCATTTAATAGTGTATCTGAGTTGACTGTTTATTGTTTAATGAAATTAGTTGTTTGTTACATTATTATTACAATTTAATTTAATTGACCACTGGTCATTGCACGATTAAAATTAATTCTGTCCTTTGGTTATTGAACTCTAATTTTTTGTCCAGTTGTTGATTAACTCATAATTTGATAAGAATTGTTTTTCATATATTTGGTTCAATTACTTCTCTTGAACCAGTTTATTTTTTATCCCTATCTTAATTTTGTTAACGCTAATAACAATTGTACTTGTTTTTCTTTTTGCCCAATCCCTACTAATTACTTAATTTAATTTGTTAATATAATTGTACAAAATAATTGAATTTAAGTTTGTACTAACTATTACTCTTTGTACTTTGCTCATTGCAATAAATTTACTTAGTTCACTGAATCATTTGTTTCACTGAATATCCACCTTCACTTTACCTCTTGAGCACATATACAGTCCACTATCACAAACCATGTATAATAAGTAACTAACTGAACAAATGTCACAGGTAAGGTAGTTAGCGCATTGGAGTTAGCTGGCTTGCTCATTGTACAAAATTTATTTACTTTTACTCGCATAATACTTGATGTTATAATTTTTATTTAGCTTAATTGTTCCTATTACTCCCTCTCCCTCCACTCCATGCACTTTCCTCTACAAATAAATCAGATAGTTATACTTAGAAAATCAACTGACCAAACGGCTTTCCTCTTGTCGCCTTCGTATGAATAGGAATTCGTTCACAGTTCAGTCCTGTTCTTAACATTTGGTCCTTCGGGCCGGATTAGTTGATTAATAAAACTTTTTGATTGTAAGATAATCCCACTGGGAAACCTCCTCGTCGTTGTAAAGCAAAACCAGCACAGATTGTCGTTCACCTGATTTTTGTTTTAATTTGTTCATCATCGATCAACTTAACTTAGCTTAAATTGAGTGTTGTATTGAGGTAAACTGGCAAAGAAAAAAAATATATATATAATAATAATAATCATAATAAAAAAAATCACAAGTGCCCTGTGCTTGGTTTTGACTGTTTATATTTTCTATTGTGAAATAAATAAAAAAGGAAGATCATGGCTCAATCAGAATAAAAACAAAAGGAAACAACACAATAGCAATCAAGGAGAGACTTGAGTATGACAATGCCAACGCTGTATGTGAGAGAATTCTTTTGAAGTTGGAAAGCTTTCTCAAGATTGGACAACGGGTAACTGAATCTCCTGATGATGTGGTACTACGCACCAAGTTTCGGATTATGGATTCTGAACTGGACACCCTTCGAGCCACTTTCGATCAGAATATTCAGTGCATGGAACATTTGGTCAATCAAAAACATGCTCCTAGGACAGCTCATGCTGAGACTAAGCATTTACTTGCTCAGTTTGATGAAATATATTATGAACTGCATTATAAGACTTTTGATTTCTGTATTAATATATTTGAAATTAAAATTACTTAAGTAAATAACATATTATTTTGCTAATGCATACATTTCATTCATATTTTGGAAACTTCACAAAAGTGTCAAATATTTCTGGAGTAGGTTAACTCCTAGTTGGTATTACTTCCAATTTTATTTTGATAACTACTAGCAGCAAAAAAAGTGTAAAGCCATTAACGCCTTTGTGACATTAAAATAAAAAAATTTAAATAAGTTAATATTCATATATAGTATGCATATATATATTCATATATAGTAAATATTCACTATATAATTTTAATTTAGAATACTTGCTTTATATTAAATACTTAAAGCGCTACTCCTAGATAGGGCAGACATGTGAGGTCTGAATATCTCAACAAGATCTCGGAATAAATTTGCATACATACATACATATGAATAATGTATGTATCGGATAAATCTAAAATGTTTAAACATTTTTAAAAATATATTTAACTGAAACTGAATATTCAATGTATTTATAAGATGTATCATTTAACCACGCGATACGATCCCTTAATGTTTTAGCAATTAATTAAATTAAAACAAAATGCTTATTAACACTTACTTTTTAGAGGTTAAAAGACAATATTAACATTTCGTGTTGCCTGTGTATCGAGTTCTAATAGTTCCAAGATCTCCAAATTGGTAAGATTTTCAAATAAGTCCATATCGTTCATAGCACAAATAGTATAGCGAAAAAATAATGTAAAATACAAATGATACGTGTTACAACGGTTAGCGCTAAGGGTAAAATAATTATATAACAATGATGGTAATAGAACAAAAATATGACAACTTATGATAAAATATGATAAATTTTATCGTTTTAATTATCACTCTAAATGTCCCGTAATATTATTTATTTATAGACACTCATTTAATTTCTGCCTTCGTTTATTCAATTCGGGAATAACCCAAGTTGAATATTTCACGGCTATACATTACTAACGAGAAGTTAACAATAAATTATTCTAACCCAATAATCAAATACTTAATTAATTATTCTGTGTTTATATTTGTATAAATCGTATGCATTTACTCAATGCACAAACTTTGATATTTAAATATTTTTAGAAGTGTCCACGTAATACTTAACGATTAATAATGTATACAGATCTAAAGTTACACAGGCTTAATATCACTCAATATTGATATAAAAAATTTAAAACAATTTTGTTATATATGGCTAATAACATTGTGTTATATTTCTAAAGAGATGATTTAATCTCAATAAATACAAATCTAAGCAGTTGCTATTTAATATTCAAACAAGCAGCACTTTGTTTATCAATAACTTGACAATAGAAGAGGCTAAGGATCATGAGCAACTCGTAAGAACTTAAGCTAATGATAGCATTTAGGTTTTAACGAACGATGAACATCAGTTTCGTCGAACAGTGAAAATCTTAGAACAGCAAAATATCGAGTAACATTGATACCAGTTTAAAAAAGAAAAAATGTTCAAAGCTATGGTAAGAGGTCTACATCCACAGACTGGCATTTGTGACATTAAAAAAGAGTTAGCGGACTTCGGTCATCTGGTTCACAACAAATGTTCAAATAAAAAAGAAAAAGAACAAAATAACAAAAACAACGATTGGATACACATTAGACTACCATTGTTTTTGTAGAGTTTAAAACACAAACAGACAACTTTTAGATAGATAAATTGTGTCACAAGATTCATGTGGAGCACCCGAGGATTTAAAAGAAAGAAGTACCATAGAGTAAAAACTGTCAAGATTTTAATCACACACAAAACTCCAATATGTGTAAAATGTGGTGAAAAACACCTGGTTGAAGCTTGCTCTAAGTCTAAAAAGACTAAAGCAATATGTGCTAACTGTGGTGAAAATCATACAGTCAATTGGAATGATTATTAAGCTTATAAAGCAGCTGAAGCAAAAGCTAATCTAAAAAAAGTGACTGCAGTCAAAAGCGTATTCAAATTTAAAAATCGCAATTCTTACTCTGAGGTAACCAAAATAAATACTGATGCAGAGATTGAAACTAAAAAAAAACAACATTACAAGTTGTATAATAAGTTACTGGAAACTCTTCGGATCATATTTAAATTTGCAGAAAACTAATGCCGCATTGTAGGTTACTATAACATAACGTACATTTGCTGCGTCAGTCAAGTGCTTATTTGTTTGTCATGGACGTCTTTAAACACTTAGATAATATAATAAATAAATATAGTTTGA